GCTCACTTAAAATGCTGATGTATCAAAAATAATCCATGAAACATATTCTATATGCCCTATGCTAACGTAAATCCACATGTATTCCCACTGAAAGTAATAGAAGTATGGTGATCTTGGGTGCAGGGCAGAGCTAGAAGCTTTTTTTCTGATCAATGTGAACTGGCTGTTTCAGAGACAACCAATTTCCAAGCACCCACCTGTCCTCCCCACTCCCCAAAAGGCTGTACTCAGCCCACCCTCTCTGTGCCTCTCTGGGACCAGCCCAGAGGTTCATCTAGGCTCAGCTTGAGCAAGGACTGTGGGGCCAAGAACCAGAGAGGGAAGACATGGACAGTCCCCTGCTTCTTCCCTTTCTTTGGTACCTCTCTCATCTTATTCTGCTAGACAAAGGATGAGGGAAAAAAAAAAAGGCAAGCCAAGCTTCCTACAACATGGGCTACTGCAAATACGAAAGTCTCACTCTCAACAGACCAGCCACACTCCTGCTGTTTGTCATCCCCCCAGCAGCAGGAGAATCTCAGCAGAGTGAGAATAAGCAATGATGGCGGTTGCTGCAGGAGGGCTTGGGAACCAGTCACACTTTAATCCTAAAGGTAAACCTCAAGAATGGGAAGGGGAAGGGAAGGAAAGCTGGTCAAAAAATGTGCAGCAGGTATGGGAAAACAAAAGGAACTTCTATGCAAAAAAGGAAGACCTGGTGGCTGAAGATATTAGAGCTGCAGAAGGCTTTCCAGCCTCTTTTATTTTTGCATTACATGCTTCCTTTATGCCTCCTCTTGCTGAGATCTGAGCTCTGTCCATCACAGAAAGTCTCTCATAGTTTACTGATTTATTTATTCACACCACAAAATTACAGCCTGATCTGCCAGATCAAGTTGTGTCAGATGTGTTCCTAACAGCTTGGCCATGGCAGGGGTGACTTGAACTGCTTGGAGAATGTTAATTGAAAATGAGAGGTTTAAATCAACACAAAGTGGCAATTATCATGAATGGTTCTTTTAAAAACCAAACAATCCAAGAGGAACCATTGTGCCAAGCACAGCTGTACAGTGTCGCTACACCCTGTCAGTATTACTTAATGAAACAAAAAGAGGAATGAAATCGTAGAAATTCCAAGAAAAAAGGCCCTGAGACAGGGCTGGAAGGCATGACTGAGCCTGCAGATTGCAAAGCAGTTGTTTCTGCTAGCCAATGTGATGAGCACTATGAGAGTTTCTGGCGATAAGGAAATTCTCTGCTTGTGGCACAGAGCTATTGTCTGGGTTCACATTTGGAGAAGTTACTAGACTCTTTCTGTCATCCCAACTGTCCCTTTTCCTGCTAATTCTGCTTTACCATGCAGTAGGGTGGCACTTTTGAATCTGCTCCACCACCTCATTGAGACTGGGAGACTGTCCACCAGTTTAACAGGCTTGGACCAACAGTCTGGTACAAGTTCATGCAGAACAGAAGTTTGTCATGCAAAGCTGGCTCCACTGGGGATGTGGAAAATCTGGAATCTCTAAAGCAAATGCAGCTGTGTGCTCAGTTCAGGAAAGTTCTCTGGTGGCTTTAAAATGTGAGGCTGAGACTTCATTTACAGTTAATAATAGCGTGCATTCAACCACCTCCCTTCCTCCCGCTCTCATTCATTTCCATATCTAGTTTACGGCATAGCTCAGTGAACTCTGTAGATGTGTTAATGGTCCCAGGCTCTCTGACCACATTCCAGCCTCAGATCTCACTACATTGCCAGAGAAAAAAGGAAGAGATTGAAGGGAGACAATATTAACCTCCTAAGCAGAATTTAGGTCTCCCCAGTACCAATCAGCTCAACTTTATAACTAGACAAAAAGCAGGCGGCTCCACCTGATGACTGTTGAGGCATGATAAAATTTTTGCAGGTATGAATGTGATAAGTGAATATCAAGGGAAAAGCACAGTGCCTAGAAGTGCTTGACTTTGGCACGTGTAATTTTGCAATTTTAATGCTGCATCAGTGACTGTTAAATGTTAAGACATGTATTAAACCAACACCTATTAAACCAGAATTTTGACTTTAGATGTACTTTTCAGTATTCACATCAAAGTGTTTCATTAGAGTGATATCAAAGCAATTATGCAGAAAGGATTTTTTAATGGAGAGCTTTTATATATCTATGTCTATGCATGCAATAATTCATGCAAATCAAAGAATAACCTATGAACTTATTTAAATGTTTGCATCTGTATATATAAATACATGCACTTTCCCATGCTTTATACATTTTTGCTTGCTAATGATTTAAAAATATGACTGTTTTGCAAAGTGAATATAAACATAAATCCACAGATTCATGTGAACTGTGGGTGACCACAGGAATTAAAAAACCCTCTCCCTGGAACTTGCAGGCACTTGCAGACACTAATTGTGTCCTCATGGACCTAATACAGCAAAATGAACAGTAGGATGGAGTGGAGACACTGATGGCTGATTTTGCAGGAACAGAATAAAAAATTCTGGCTGTTGTTTTAAAACTGTAGTGGTTTCATGGGGTATTATTCCTACATACACTTTGATTGTTCCTATTTGAATGTAGCAGAGGAATGCAGGTAGATCTAGCCAAAACAGCTGGGGTGACAAACTAACTGTAGCAACACGGACTTCAGCACATCTGCAAAACCTGCCGCAAAGCTGGAAGGATTACTTATGAGGAGCTCTACGCTCTCACATGGTTAGTCACTGATTTTCAGCCTTTATGGGGATGTGTCTAACACACTTTGCAATGCCCCAGATGATCATTTCAGCAAGAAAAGTAGGACATTTTCCCCCAAACTCCCCAGGCTGATATTTGCATGAGATTTGATATTGGAGTTGGTTTGCTTCTGGCTGGACCATGATGCAGACTGACAGACCTAACAGTCCACGGCTGTTTAAAAATACTGCTAGGTTCCTATGAACCAGATTGTTAAATGTATTTAGACATTGGAGAATAGTTTTAAATAGTGTGACCTAATGTCAAGAAACTTATTCGTATAGGCAAGAAACTGAATTAAAGACTTTCCACTCATCCCAGGCACTGTGACAATGGTGCATTACTGACATGTTCTACAGTATCTGGAAGGGATAAAGTACATTAAAGCAGTATACCAACTTTTACATTTTAAGTCTGATTATTTGTTCTTAGTCCATACAACTGTAGAACTAACTTCAAAGTGGTCACAATATTATTATCATATATGATGCCCATCCCATATGTGAAAGCCCATGGCCTTGCGTAGACACTAAACTTTGTTTATAAGTTCAATTTTATAATCACCTTGATTGAATATCAATTATAAGCAAACAAGGATACATATGCCAATTTTCATGTTTGGAATTCTGGTCTTCCATCTTACTTCGGTGTACAGTGTTTTACACCTTATCTGCAAATATATTTTGTGTATACATATATATATATATAAATATATGAACCTACACACATTTATAGCAGTGTGTTGCTGTCTAAATGTTCAATGATTCATCTCAGATGACTTTTGATGTTTGAAAGTTAGATATCCAAGCACAACTCAGGCAATTCTATTATATGTAATGAAGAATATATGGTGTATTTACAGGATGTCTTTATTTTACCTTTCTAGTTTCCTATTTTGACATGAGATGAATTATCCTGTAAAAATGACTCTGACTGTAAAAAGTGTTAGTTTTGACTGAAGCACCTAAATGGTAGACATCCAAGTTAGAATGATTAAATCTTATATAAATTACAATCCTCTCCCAAAAAAAAAAGTGCATTTCCAGCATTTGCATTCATCTGCTTTGTCAGACGGTTCATTCAATATGATTATTGTGAATATTAATTTATGAATATCTGTCAGTCTCCAGCTTCTGACTAAGAAATATGAGTAAAGTTGAAAACAAACAAATATAATATTATGTATAGAAAGAATTAAAAGGTGATGTACTACAATATTTCAAGAGAGGTGCAAAGATGATATATTTCTCTTATCTGAATTAAAATTTGAGCCCCTCTGCTGTTGTCAAGACTTTTCTTAGATGTAAAAAAAGGAAAATGTGACAAAAGAATGACCCAAAGTGCAGCATACAGCTCAGCCTGTTATCTCATAATCACCAGTATTCACTGTTGCAGACAGCAGTACACTAAAAACCTGAACTGATTAACAAGTAACTTTGTTTCTTTGTGACTATCACAGAAATAAAAAATCAGTAACTTAAAACTCAACCTCCGTAATTGCAAACAAAATATACAAAGTATGATTTCTAAAGAGTTAAAACTAACATAATCTAAAATATATGTTGTTTAAAAATTGTGCCTTTTAAGTTTGACCTTAGAATTTTTATACCCAAACCCATGTATTTTGTATGGTTTAGACTGTCAGTTTTGTGTGCTTGGTTAGAGTGTGAATGTGGCTATACTTTTTTGAAATATTTGTTTGGGTAGTAGAGTTACTTATTCAGGACATGAAAAGCTGTGACACGACTTAAATGATCTATCCACTTGTGTATATAATTCAGCATTTAAGGATTGTAATCAGTCTCATTAAAGCCAATCACAGAAATCCCTCTGATTTAGTGGTCCAGGATCACTCCACACAGCAGCAGTTGTTGAGGTGTATGCACTGGCAGAAGCAGCTGTGCATTATCATATCAAATCACAAGCAAACTTGAAAAAAACTCACAGCCTCTCCTGATAGTCGTTTAAGGATAGTAGTCAGCAGAAATTGGCCAAAATTGCTTTGAGAATTAGAAGCTGGTACGGGGAATTCACTTCGTCCTGCTTCATTCTTAGAACCAAAAGATGTATATTACAGTCCTTTAAAATCTTAACCGAAACGCTGGATTTTCTTTAAGAAATAGCTTTCCTAGGTAATATGTAAGCATTGTATTGTTGCAACATGTCTGCAAGACAGTTAGAATCGTCTTTCATTCTGTTGTACCTTTCCCCTTTCTTCCCTCTCTCTCCCTCTCCCTCTTTTACCCCGCTTTACTTCTCTCCCTGCTTTCTGGTTTACCCTTTTAGCAGTACAAGATCAAGACAAGCTACAAGGCATTTGCAGCAATCCCTACAAACACATTACTTATGGAACAGAAGGTTAGTGTTTGCTCAAAGACATGGGAATTGCATTGTATATTTGAGACCGTTCAACATTATGTACATATTCTGACATTTCTGTGGGGGATATTGCCGAATGTAAGGTCTGGGAACTAACTGCTCAGGATTATAATTCCAAACATTTTTCAGGGTCAACCACTCTGCACTGAAGATCAAAGCCTTCACTAATCTGAATTTCTGCAAATAAATTTGCTGTAAAAAAACCCAAACCCAGAGTGTTTTAAAGGAATTGCCATTTATGGCAACATCTCAGTCTGTTTTGTTATTGGGAGGTGTCTGGAGTACTGCTATTCTGGGACCTGCCAATCAATAGATCTTGGTCAGTTAATGATTATTCAGTGGTTATGCTTATATTAATAAATTTAATATCCTAAAATATGCAAATTTGACCAGCTTTATTCTTAAACTGTGAACACAGTCCTGACCATTGCACTGGCCTCTGTTAACTATCATTCTCCCAAACAACTTCCCTGAGCACTTCAGTGGTTAAGAAGGGCCAGGGGTCTATTCCCAGTATGTAGTTTGGAGTAACAACCCTTTTCTGTAGGGTAGGATGACAGCTCTGAAAAGCAGTCTTTCGTGCATTTACTTGGTACCAAAGACACAGCCAACAAATGCTGGGTTGTATGGTCCTTATTTACATAATACAACTTTGGAAGTCAATTGAAAATTAAAATTTTCTGTGAAGGGTTCTAAGTAGCAACCAATGTCTATTTTTAAATATTTTTTCCCCAAATTAGTTTTGCACAGAAGAATAGCCCACTTAGTTTAACAAAATGTTTCTGTGTTGGGCAATGAGCTGAGAATCTTATATGCTTAAAGACATGCTTAATTACCCTGACATCCAGTTTATAGCTTTATCAGAAAAATCCATCTGTTCAGCACCTAGCTCAGGAACTCAGCCTCTGATTAATTCTGTAAGATTAAGAATTTCTAACTGCACATTTAAAAACAAATGCATGTATACAGCTCAGTTGACTTCACTAGAAGTTTGCACAACCTAACAACATTGGAGAGGGTAAAAATTGTGTAAATATTTTAAAGATGATAATTTTGTGCTTGAAATATTACTGATTGTGATCAAGTAATCAGTTAACTGCTATAAATAAGATAATTTATTTTTCAAAAAAAAGGGACATTCCTTTTTTTTCCCCCAATGTTCTTTTGATCTTGGATGATTTTTTTAATCATTTGCATAAACCCTGATCCTTCCCTTACTTAAATCTTGAATGCACTAATGAAGGTTATGTCTGCTTTAGTATGCAGTGTAGTCCAATAGAAATGGCTCTGTAGAGGAAAACAGCTGAAGCAGGGGATCCAACACCCCTACAGAATGTATTTTGGGAGGATTTTATTTGGGTAGGGTGCCTGTTAGTGGCTGGAAGCTTTAGGTGGACTCCTGAAGTGCCACTTCATGGTTGACTTAATCTGAAAGGCATCCAGTTTGTGCACACTAAGACTGCAACACACTGCAAATGAAGCTGGGTAGGTGACTTTGACCAAGGGTATTCACCCTAAGAGCACACTCGTGGTGTGAACCAGTGGGTTAATGTCAGCCCTCTGATTGCACTTTTTCAGAAGAAACAGGATTCCTTTTGATGGTCTCGCTGATGCTTTGTGGGGGATTGACTCATAACCTGTGTTACTTATCCCCAGCACATAAAACTGAATTGTACAATGTAATGCCAGTATATGCAGAAAAAGTAATGACTCAAAAGTTATCTGTGATTACACAGATTTTTGGTTATCCACCACTTTGTTGAAAATCCTAGCCTTGGTGTATCCTTCGGTAGCGAAAGCAGTCATGTAAAACTAATAAGAAATCAATTTTCTGCTGGAGGATTTGCCTTCAGGTGAGGCTTTTGACTAATTTACTTTGTAAACTGTATGTTTTATCGTGGCCTGACTACATGCTTTCTCTCATCTTGGGAATTATGGATAATAATCTTCTATTGATCTATACCAGCAGCTGATTACAGTGCTCCAAAGATAGTCCTGTTGTGTTAGCTGACATGCATTTAGAGTACAGCCCTTAAAGGAAGCATGAAGAAGTCACATGATACACACAGGCCTTATTGTACCAAGGCCTAATATCCAAGTATTCTCCTCAAAAATACTGTTGAGGGAACTCTTAAGGAACTCTTGCTACATTGTAGCTCAAGGACAGTGATTATGTTGCTCCCATTTTATGCACTGGATTAAAAAGAGAGAGATTCAAGACAATACATTTTTAACTACATAAGTGATGTTTTATTAACATTAAAATAATGGTTATGTGGAGATTTCAAGTGGCTTTTTCTTTTTAGCAAGGAAGGAAGGTACATATTATCTGCAAGACAGATACTGAATTGAACGCATGATTAAGAATACATCATCTGTCTAAAGTGCTAAAAAATGTGTTTTGCTATGCAATTGAACTGGAAATGCACACATTACTGCGTCAATAATTACATTACTTAATTTGAGTAGTCATGAGAAATAAGATTATTCAGAAACATGATATGAGTGATCCTAGTGATAATTCCTATGCAGTATTAATTAGATCCCATGATAGAAAACTGCCATTGATATCTCATACAAGGTACAACGGTTTGTTTGCCTCTGAATTGTCTCCTTGCATCTAGCTGTCATGGTTTAACCCCAGCTAGCTACTGTTAGCTACACTAACTACTGTGAAGAAAATTAACTCTGTCCTGACTAAAACCAGGACACTAGCTTTCTTTCTCAAGTAATTTTTTTCTTTTGCATGTGTGTAGATGGTTTAATTTCAGCCAGCATTTTTCAACTACTTCTTCTGAAACCATTACACTGTCATATCTTAATGTATTTTTCTAGAACATGTTCTTTGTATCCTCCAGTACTGTTATTCAAAGCAAGTGGTTCAAATCTGTGCTCATTATCAGAGAAGAAAAGGCATATTAACTATATATGTGTATACCTTGACAATCCCAGAAGTGGCTAAATCCCATCAAATCTTGTAACTGGCATGCTTTCCAGCTGTTTGAGTTTGTATGAACCTGATGTTCTTCACATCACCTGTGCTCTGCTCAGGAAAAGCCCAATCCAGGATATCTCTTGGAAGATTGGACTGTAACTTCCTTCACAGCCAGAAGAACAAAAACTTGTTTTTAAGGGACTTTTCCTCAGCATGGTCAGGCTCTGTCAGGGAGCAGCAAGAGTGAGGTGTTCCACAGGGAAGGTGAACCAGGAGCTGGGGTGACAGCGAGGCTGGCAGGACAGTGACCTCACCAAGGGCACAGCTCGACAGTGCCTGAGCAAGGAGAGCAGAGGTGGTGATAACGAGGTGGTGGTAGCCGTGGTCAGTCAGCAGTGCCATCATAGCCACACACATTCACAGCGATGAGACTGTGGTAATGAACTCTTCAGCCTGGCAGATGATAGGATCCACTGGATAGAAGAGGAAGCTGGTCAAGTTTAATGTAGGCATAAAGCAGAAGTTTAATAGAAAGAATTAATTAGAATTAATTTTAATTCATTAGAAAAAAATCCAGAAACTGAAATGGGCTCTTTATCACAGAAAATGAAAAATCAAGACAGGACACTTTTCTAGCACTTCATACAGTAATTTCAGGCAGTTATGTGGTTTGAAGAAAAGGTCAGACTAGGTGATCACTGTGGTTTCTTCTGGCCTCATTAACACTGAATCAGTGAGTCACCCCTCTACTGACACTCACTCTTGTATAGCTTCTAGAGTTACACAAATATGATCAGAGTCTAATTCAAAATTCCATTCCTTAGTATTAGATAGTATTTTTAAAGTAATGCATCTATTATTTAAAGATTATATTTATCAAATATCTTTCAGTCAATATAGATAGTGATGAAGAGTTTATTTCAGGGAGCTACTTTAAAATTGTTAACTTTATGTAGACAGCCTCTTAAACCAGATCCTACTTCATCTTCTGAATTATGTCAATTGAGATGTAACCCAATAACTTTTGGATGCCTTGTCATTGCAAACCAAAATAAGTCTTCTCTTAACAGTTCAGTGGTCTCTGGTCTACAGCAAGGTCTATGCAGGGAATCTGGGTTTGCTGTGTTTGTCCAGATACACAACCCTCTGCATGCTGATTGGGGTGAACTTCCCTTATCTGGGCAACATTTTCATGGGAAGGAAAACTGGTCATACAGACATGGAGGGAAGGGGCACTGCAAATGTTCTGCTCAGACTTCCCCAGTCCGAACTGTGGTGAAACCAGGATCATGATTTGTGGCACGAATCACACCTGCTTCACAGTCAAGGCTTATCCCACACTTCCCAAGTCTTCTCAAAAGCAGTAGGTATAACTGGCTATGGCAGTTAAACTGAAAGATGTGCAACTGAGGAAATATGGCAGTCATCTGCTACACTGGAGATTCGGCTTTAAGTTCTTGCCTTGAGGGAACTCTTACCTATTGTGTTATGAAACACCCACTGGTACAGAGACTGATCATGGCAAATGCAGGTTGAAGTTGTTCCTTGAAATTATACAACAGGAACTTAGAAACCATTTTTCCCACTCTCAGATGGCAGACCTAATTGCTGGATATTTTGCTGTTATCAAGCACGTCAGGACCTTTCTCAACCTGGAAGGCATTTCTGGCAAGTGTGTTGAGAATATTTTTGTAAAAAAACATTTTAGTTTTCCCCAAATACCTGTGGTGTGTACTTACTAGGTGAATTTCTTGCATCCAGATTATTCGTTCATGTCAGAATTCTTCTCAAGACTGGAGATAAATTCCTAGTCATAAGAAAGAAAGGAAATAACTTGTGCAGTTCTAGAGTGATAAAGGACTTAGTTCATCTGTAGTAATAATCGTGTGCCAATATAGAAACAGGCTATGAATTCCCTCTTTCTTTCAAAGACCTTGCAGCTTTTAGTACTAATTATTTTATAACATGAAAAGTAGTCAGGTCTTTTCAGTATTATCTCCCAGGATTTTCAAGGAATCAGTGAAAGGAGCTCATGGTATGTGAAGTTCTGTTAGACAGAGGGTGGGTTTTTTTGTATGTGCTGAATGCTTAGGAAAAGATATTGATGGGAAAAATATGCAAGAGAAATAAAAGAAGAGGAAATGTTTTGGGTTTTGCTCAGCCCAGGGTTTTCACAATACAGTAAGAGGGAAGTTATGTCAGATCCAGGTAACAATATTCATTTTTTCTCCTACTGTTGATGTGGTTCATTGGTGGACAAAACAATGTTCTCTATTTCCTATACATAACCAAGAGCTTTCATTCTTTTATCAAAATATTAGAGATCATGTTGGGATCATTTACCAGCATCCTTTCAACTCTGATAGAGCTTCAGAAATCAAATAGCTTGGGGGAAAGAGGAGGGAAGGGTTGTACTCATCACTGGTGTCAATGGCATATATGCATCACACCACCAGAGATGTCCTTTGCAAGGAAAAATTAGTGGTTCAGCAACTGGTTGTTTCATGTGAACATTTAGATTCTGTCACAAATACATTTTCATTCTCTAAATTGGAGTCTTCTTTTAAATTGGGGTTCCACTGTTGTTATTCATATATAATCAAAAAATCTGAATGCCTAAATAGGAATGTTCCACTTTTAGTATTGTTAGACCCTCAGTATAGGAAGTGAAGCTTAAATACTGTTGATAGTGCAAATCAACAGTACCATAGGTAGCACTAATGGTTTAAATTAATTATAGCATTATTGTAATATATCTCAAGTAATGAGTTCAGAAACTCTAGTTGTCCTTTTTTAATGTCACATTTTCCTATATGTGGAAACGTTAAAATAAAAGTTAATGTTTGAAAAAAAAAGAGTTGTATTTTGAAATGCTAACAACAGATTAAACAGAAATTTTATTGTTTGTAGAGGTAGTAGGGATGCCTAAAATCTAGCTCTCTGTTTCTTCTCTTTTTTTGGACGACTCCGGCTGTTCAAGGATGGGGAAAAAAAAAAAGAAAAAAGAAAAAAAGAAAGAGATAAAACAGTTTAAAAAATTTAGATGGATCATTTTGTAGATTAAAATTTTCCTTTTCCGATGGTTCAAAAAGAGAGAAGAGCACTGCAGCTTCCTCTACCATGGATCCTGGATGAGGGCCTTGTCTCAGGGGGACTCTGGAGTGCATAGACCTTGGTGCTCTGCTCACCTGAGTTTTTAGTCAATGAAGGCTCCAAAATGCAAAGATATCTGGGTACCCAATTTTTACTGAAACTGATGGATGTTTGGTACTTAAATTATCCAGAGACTTGGTTCTGAACAGAGGCTTTTGGATGTGGCTGTAGTTCTTCTAGAAAGATTCCTCAATATCTTCTGAGTGGTTGTTTCTTACCCTTGGCTGTGCTCACCCGCTACCACTGTTCTGCTGAGGCAAATATGAAACAGAAACATATTTTTTCTTAACAATTATTTTATTATGTCCATTACCTTACTGGTTTCCTGGGTGTTTTGAGAATCTTAACAATTTCTCCATTCCAAATCTCTGACTGATTGAAATTTGTTGTTTTACTCACATTCAGACTCATCATCTGTCTACAAAAGGCTGCTTTGACAATCCTGGTCATAATAGATATTGGAATGAACCTTCTACTTAATTTTATCACGTCATTTTGTGTTTTCCAGGAGGATATAATCTTGAGTGAAGCTGAACCGGGTGCACAGAACTTGAGTATGGTTCTGAGCCCTTCTCTTCTACAGGGCTATCTATTGATCTGAGATTTTAGCTGGGTGACAGTGATGAGAGAGCAGAGATGAGAATGACAGTTATCTTTTTGTCTTCTGTCTCGGGATAAAATTACATTAATTTCTGTAGGTCAACAATTTTTTTTTTTTTTTTTCCTTTTGAACTACAACTACTCTAAAGCCAACAGTTTTGTGGAGAGCTGGACGGGAGAGAAGACATCCCTTTGGAAGAAATTACTCTTAATTATTTCTTACCGTAGTCTCTGATAGAAGACATGGTGTTTCAGAAATTCACTTCTGTGCAGGATCGTTTCTGGATGATATTAAAATAATATTGAAAGTAATTAATTGTCCTTTTTGTAACTTTTCAGTTACAAATACTTAGATGTATACTTCCAGTAGCTGGATAAGGAAAGAAAAAAATATTGTATTGAGCAAATTTAAACTCAGAAATACTTACTTAATATATGCTTTTTTTTTTTTTTTTTTTTTTAAAGATTCTGCCATTTTCCTTCTAGGTCCACATATGTCTTCTGTGACTGGCAGTCCTCATACCCACCTCACTGGAATCATTGTGTTCCCACATACATGAAGAGATGCTTTACTGGAATAATCTATTTTTCTCTTATTGTACTTTTTTTTTTTTAAATAACTAGCAAATTGTAACTTCAGAAAAACATAATGTGTTAAACAAAAAATCTACAAACCCTGTGGGTCTCTCCCCTTTAGTCCAGTTTATCATAGAATCATAGAATCATAGAATGGTTAGGGTTGGAAGGGACCTCAAAGATCATCTAGTCCCAACCCCCCTGCCATGGGCAGGGACACCTTCCACTAGACCAGGTTGCTCAGAGCCACATCCAGCCTGGCCTTGAAGACATCCAGGGATGGGGCATCCACAACATCTCTGGGCAACCTGGTCCAGTGCCTCACCACCCTCTCTGTGAAGAATTTCTTCCTGACATCTAAGCTAAACCTCCCTGATTTCAATTTATACCCATTACCTCTTGTCCTATCACTACAGGCTCTTGTAAAAAGTCCTCTCCCAGTACCCTTGTAGGCCCCCTTCAGATACTGGAAAGCTGCAATGAGGTCTCCTCGGAGCCTCCTCTTCTCCAGGCTGAACAAGCCCAGTTCTCGCAGCCTTTCGTCATAGGAGAGGTGCTCCAGCCCTCTGAGCATCTTCGTGGCCCTCCTCTGGACTCGCTCCAAGTGGTCAATATCCTTCTGATATTGAGGGCTCCACAGCTGGACGCAGTCATCAGGTGGCTTCCAGAGTAGTTTTTGGTGCTGTCACGGAGTCTATTTGAAAATCGCTTCAAAGCAAAAATGGGTGATGGCAGTGAGCGTGTGCCTCAGACTGTGGACAAAGATGAAAAGGGAACTGGGCACTGAAGTTTGGGTTTTGTGGGTGTTCTGTGATCCCTCCGTTTAAGTGGAGGGATCACAAAACTGGTTCCCACTGTTTTCAAACCTGTTCCAAGCACGGCATAGGAAAGCAGGAGGTGTGTCCAAGCACAGGAAGATTGTGATTTGTTTTGGAGAGATTGCATAACTGCTTAGGGTGATACTACATATGTATAGCACATATTTTGCTCTATACATTTCTGATTTCAGGGTGAAATCCAAAAACATCAAGCACTGGTTTTGTTACAATGTGGAATCATCATCCTCTTTAAACAGGAGGCACTTTTTTAAAAGCGAACGTCTAGTGGAGTAAAGGAAAGGGCCTCCTGTGTGCTTGGACCTCTGCCTTGCCCACCTGCTTACAGCCGCTGGCGTTCCTCTGACAGCGTGCGGCAGGCAGCCCCCTGAGCCCTTTGTGGCACACAGCGCACATTCACCAGGTTACATTTACTGTGAATGAGGCGGGCATCGTCGAAGGAGAAGACAATTTAAACTGGTAGTTTCTGATCTCTAAAAGTAGAGTCAATTCACCTAGCTTGAATACTCTCTCTCCCTCCCTGAAAACTCATGTCTAATTCAGAATCAGAAGTTGGTGACCTGAAGAACCTTACTAGGCCTGTAATTTCTTCTTCTTCTGTCTTTTCATGGTGAAACAGAAAGTGTCACCTTTGGAAATGGTATTGCAAAAAGTGTGTTTGCTTGATTTTTAAAATACTGAACTCAGTATCACACCAAAATCTTTTGAATTGCAGGCATTAGAAGAGCCAGCCAAGACTGCTAGTGTGACTGAAGGCACTGCTTTGGACACCCATTCAGAGGTAGTCCTGCTACCTTTCTTTCAAATTTCTATTTGAAAACAAAAAGCGAAGGTTAACTGAGTGATCTATCCTTCTTTTTCAGATGTGCTCCCCTGCCCAGCTCAGACAACAAACAGAAGAGCTGTGTGCCGTCATTGACCAAGTACTGCAGGACCCGTTGACTATGGTAACCCATCAGTATGTGGGATCAACTTTTTGCCTTCCTTTCCTTTTGCCTCTTGTCATTAAGAAGTCTGTTCTCTGTTGAAAATAATTTTCCAGCGCCGCTGTGAGTCTTCTCCAAGTTTCCTGCAGATGAGCACGGAGTCAGAGGTTGGCAAGGTAGGTCAATAAACCCACCCACAGACCAAGGGCTCTTTCCAGGTAGGTATCAAGGCAAGCGAAATCGCAGTAGAGCCTCTGGCAACAGAAAGCTGCAGCTGGGAGATGCAACATCAATAGAAGGGTCTTGTGGTTTAAAAGACATGGAAGAACAGAACTGTAGCCCTGGAGTCTTTGTTGCAGGATGCTTTACTGAAGTCAGAGGAGTTATATTATGAAAGAGAAACTGTTCATTAAAGCTACGATCCACAAAGAAGAAATCCTTCATACCTTACCTTCCATATTGCAAGGTCTTTGGTCATGTCCCAGATTTCCTCCCATCTGTGTGTCCTTACCATAAAGCGGCCAATATTTCTAGCTTCAATGGTTGGAAACATCTTTCAGAACTTTGGGGTCTTTTTTCATGTTCATTATCAGTTTTCAGATAATGGAATAATTAAATTAATTACTAGACTCACTCTTAAGTGCAGATTTCCTTTTAATTCTGGCCTCTCACAGGAGTGGGATGTGTGCTACATACATATAACTTGGATAACTCAGAAACAGGTAGTGAGAGGCAGGGATAACTTTGTAGGCTGGTGTTTAACTTCTGGTTTCACTGAGCTATATTAATGTGCCTTCTGGGTTAAGAAAAATGACTAACCAAGGGAAGAGGGTCCTGTACTCAGTTTGCACCAGGGAAGTTTAAATTGGTCATGGTAGCTATAGGAAAGTGAAAATGGCAGAAATCCACCTGGAAATCAGAGGAAAGCGATTTTTGGTAGAGAAACACATCAAAAAGTTACTGCAAAAAAAAAGAAAGGGTACCATGTCCAGTCCACCATGCAAAAATAAGAAGCATTTCTGTGTGGCTATATTCAATATACACCTCAAATTTAATTTTTATTTTTGAAATTACTTCTGTCAACCAGCATGCAGTGGTGAATCAGGCTTCAGGCAACTGAAAGGCAGGGACATGATAGTAGGTGGAGACTGTTACTGAGGGAATATTTTCCAATGCCTGTGCTGAATCCAAACTGATTAAAATGCTGGCAATAAGTTGAGCTATAGCATCCAAAATCTACTTGGGCAAATGGGAATTGAGCCTTGACCAAATGGAAGGCATCTGTTAGCACTCATGAAACCAAATAAAGGGGGCAAAAGGTGAGTTTAAGAGGATGCAGCATAGGGACCAAGATAAAGGATGTGGGTACCTCAGAATGAGAGAGCAAAGTGCTTAATCTGAGAGTGTATGCTATAAGTAAATGTCTTAGAAATAGCATGGATTAGTCAGATGAAATCAAGCTCTTTCAAGTGAGAACATGGAAAAGTTATATTTCACATTATTTTGTGAGCAAATGTAACATGTAACAAATTTCCTGGGGCAACCACACCTATAGCTATCTACTAATAAGAATTTTGTTATGAAAGACCTCAGAGATAATTTAAATGCTATCCTCAATAGACTAGAATCAATGTTTTTGGCAGTAAAAATGAAATAATGTTTTCATAGAAGCATGGAATGGTTTGGGTTGGAAGGGACCTTAAAGATCCCCTGGTTCCAACCCCCCTGCCATGGGCAGGGACACCTTCCACTAGACCAGGTTGCTCAAAGCCTCATCCAGCCTGGCCTTGAACACTTCCAGGGATGGGGCATCCGCAGCTTCTCTGGGCAACCTGTTCCAGTGCTTCACCACTCTCTTAATGAAGAATTTTTTTCCTGATATCTAACGTAGATCTCAAGGTCTCCCAGGAGCCTTCTCTTCTCCAGGCTGAACAAGCCCAGCTCTCTCAGCCTGTCCCCATAGCAGAGGTGTTCCAGCCCTCTGATCATCTTCATGGTCTCCTCTGGGCTCACTCCAGCCAGTTGATATTTCCACAATAAACATATCAAACAAAACTTTAGTAAAACTTATTCACACACATTGCATGAATCTTTCTGGAAAACTGAAGTTTTCTTCAATTTAAGCAATTAATAACTTGTCACAATGATGTAAATCCCTGTTATTCCTCAGAGTAACTCTTTGCTCTTACTATACCTTTTTTTTTTTTTTACAAGGTGTCAACAACACTGCAGAGAGCAGCTGGGCGTGAAACCAGATATGTAAGTATTTGTATAATTACTCTACATTTTGCATGCAGAATTGTATAATTTGTCTGCTCTTGCTACAATATAGGGTGAGTTTGTAGAGGCATCTACTCACGACATGAGGTGCTGACTAGTACAGAGAAGTATGTTAGAGCACTTGGCAACTGAGACTTCAGGTGTCTTTCCACTGCTGTATATCTATCATGGCCAGAATCTCTTCAGTGGAGTGTCTATTGATAATTTTACTTATGTGAATATGATCTTAAAATTAATTTCTTCACACACTTTGTTTTTGTTTGCTTCAAGAGCAGGACAAGGGCTCAGCTATTTGGCAGAGACTGTTGCATGTACTGAAGGGTGAATTTGTTTGGATCAGTCTGCATTGTAGGGGACTTGCTTTGGTAGAAGTCCTTTAATTTTTACCTATCCATCAGAATTTGGGGTTGACCCAAACTTTTCTTTCCAAGATATAGTACTGGCTGAAAACCAACAGTTTATCCTTAGATGAAGAGAAGCTGTTTTGTCACATGTACACACGTTCCAACATACAAAGAAAATCTCTATATTGAGGCATCTGTTCAATTATTGAAACATTATGCCCAATTAACATTTTAATTCTCACTAGCACACACAATTACTACAGGGTCCATATTTTACTTAGGATTCATAGTCATAAGGTGAGAAATCTCTGCTTACTATTCATCATCCAGCATTTCTATTCAACCTCATATCAAAGCAGTGCTGGCAAAGCAATAGAGGCTTTCCAGTTTTATGCCAGCACAATGCTTGACTGATCAATTCAATTTTGCTTCTTGAATGTGGTGGTATGCATATTTTATTGCATACTGTAATTTTTACTTGACAGAGTGTGCTGGCTCATACTAATTAGAAAGGATATTGGAAGAGAGCTTTTTAATGAAATAAAAGAGTGTGCTTCAGAGGTAGTCTGTGGGAGCACAGTATATTTAATATCACTCCAGTGCAGATATCCAGCTCCCAAAACTGTGGCTGACATATACCATAATTTCAGGCATCCAACTTGTATGCCTGGGGTTATAGTTAGGTTTTCTTTGCTGGCATAAAAAATCACCCTTGGAAACTCTTCCTTCCTAGTGTCCCCTGGAACTTTCTAGATAAATGAAACAAATCAATATTTAAAAATACATTTGGGGATAACATAGAAGATTATTGATAGAGTAACATTTCCTATAAATTGAATGAGCATGTTGAATTTTCTGTGTGTCAGAAAGCAGACGATGGTCTCCAGGCTGTGCTGTGGTGGCTGAATTTGGTAGGTCCGAGCTCTCCTGGACTCTGCCATCGCTGCACTCTGAGTGAGCTTTCCTGAGGGATGAGACAACTGTCCCTAACAGCTCCCATACACCACAGCTCTCTCCCCCTCTCACTCTGCTTCCTTGGTAGGACATACAAAGACTATTTCTGCCCCAGATAATAAACCAGGCAGTGGCTTGTCTCCTGGCCCTCAGAGTGAGGGCACACTGAGGTGGTTTTCCATAGCGTTGTCTTCTCCTCTTCTTCTTCAAGTTGTCTCCCTTCAAAGTGAGCCCTCCAGCCCAGCACAAGACCCAGGGTGGCCTTACCTCTTCAGCTTGCCGAGAGCAGCATGCTCCCTGCTACCATGCAGACTGTGACAGAGAACTGTCCAGAAGAGTGGTTGTTGGTGTGGACAAAAGCATGTAAGGGAGCATGCTAACCATTAACTGGAAAGGACCTGTCCCTGAGCCTCTGTGCATGATGACTTTTGCTCACTAAAGGAGATATGGAATCACAAAATCGTTTGAGTTGGAAGGGACCTTGAAGATCATCTAGTTCCAACCCTCCATGCCATGGGGGATTGTCCAGGGGCTGATGATTCTTCATAGTAGACACAAGATGTCTGTTTTGAAACAAGGTGCCTACTTTCAGAAAATCTAACAGTGTCTCTGTGTTGTGGTTTTGGTTGGGATAGAGTTAATTGTCTTCACAGTAGCTAGTATGAGGCCATGTTTTGGATTTGTGCTAGAAGAATGTTGAAAACTCACTGATGTTTTTAAGTTTTTGCTAAGCAATGTTTACTTTAAGCTAAGGACTTTTTCAGTTTATGATACTTGTGTTCCCAGCTTCTTCTGTACAAGAAGCTGGGAGGGAACACAGCCAGGACAGTTGACCCAATCTGACCAAAGGGGTATTTCATCCCATAAAGCATTATGCTGCTTATATAAGATGGGGGAGTTGATCAAGGAGAATCTGGCTCTTGGGTTCTCTGGTCTCTTCTCTTGCTCTCTGGCTGTAGCTCTGGCTCTCCCTGCTTGGGGACTGGCTGGGCATTGGTCAGTGTGTGGTGAGCAGTTGTGTAATTTGTGGTTTTTTCCCCATTATTTCAATTACATAGTAGTAGTAGTATTTTCATTACATATTATTCTCAGTAATACTAGTATTCTTAGTGATATTAGTATCATACTTTTATTTAATTTATTTTCAAATATTAAACTGTTCATAGCTCTTTCTTATCTCTTATGCTTTCCTTTGATTTTCTTCCCCATCCTACTAGGGTGGAGGGAGGTTATCAAGCAGCTGTGTGGTGCTTAGTTACTGACTGGAGTTAAATTGTGATAGTCTGGTAGAAATCAGGAACTGAGTATTTTACAGACACTTGTTATAATATCAAATAGTGAGTTTTCCCAGGAGGCCTGTGGTGTCTCATGTGAGCTGGCTTGGAATAATGATTTTCAGCCATCCTTTTTTCCACAAATCTTATTATTTTTTTTAGATGTAGGCTTTCAGTTTATGCAACTAAATTATTTTTGCTAGAAAGAATTAACATGGTAATTTAGCAATATAATTTTCTAAATATTTTTGTATTCATGATGTGCAATATTCAGCTGCTTGTCAAAATGTTGCTTTGATGGTATTTTTGGTTAAAATAATAGATTTCTTTATGAGTCAGGAATAGGAAAATCTGTCATCATGCTAAAGCATTATTTATAAACACAAACATATATAAATGTTTGTGTGTGCACGTATGAAAATATTACTAATTACTTCAATAAGTTATATGAAGTAGTGGACTATACAAATACATTGAAATAGCCTGCCATTTAAAGTTAAAACGACATAGATTTGCCTTGGCCTCAAGTACTATTTGTTTTCTCATGCACTTCAGCACCTTTTAAGGATGTAAATAATTGTACAAATAGCAAGGGAGCATATAGAAAGTATGTAAACATGTCTGACTTCAGTGAAATTACAGCAGTTTGTACCAGCTGACAACACAGTGCTACAGTTGTCATTTAACATCTTTTTGAACTGTATGGTCTATGATTCCATTCACCATTTTCTAATAGTGCATCTCTGTTGGCTTTAGGGATGATACTTCTCATTTGTGATAATAATATGATTATATAATTGTTCCCTAAATAAATTACTTTGATGGCTGTTGAATGTCCTGGTATATTTACACATAGTCATTGTGTTTCCATATAATTACTGTCACCAATGAAAGCTTTCTTAGCTTTAATATCAGGTTCTAGCAAATTTATAATTTTGACATTTAGCCCACTTGCAACTATTTTAAAAGTAATTTCTCATGATTAATTATAATTAATTTACATATTATTGACATTTTTGTTCTTCTTGACAGTTCTATTCTAAAAAAAAAAAAATAAATCTTTTTAAAGTGTTACAGGCATGAAACACAAGTGAAAAAATAAGAGAACATGAAGCAGCTAACAATGCACACAGACATGCAGAAATAAGTAGAGCTTTCCTTTATCTGTGTTCTGCTGTGCTTATATACATTTCAGGTAAACCCTTTGAAATGAGATTTACGCTTAATCTGCACCACTGTAGTGAGAGAATTTAATTCCAGACTGCTTGTATCTGTAGATCATTCTGAAGTGCTCTGATGTCTTTAAACTCATGAGACTGGTTGTCTCACTTGGTTAATGGTATTAATGAGAGTCCCGAGCATGTAAGTAACCAGTAGTAAAAACTGTGGTTTACTCTGTCAAGGGCAGAAGATATACTTCTTGTAGATTTAGTGCTAAATCACAGCTGTCCCTGTGTGGGAAGGTTTCCTGCACCAGGGGCTGTGTTTAGAGATCTGAGCGCTCTCGGTGAGGAGCACAGTCCTCCTCACGACTTGTGGTGATGCTGTTCTCACCACCAATGAGGAGTAGAGCCAACAGGTCCAGGGAGTGATAGACATTTCTATTTAGCACTTGGGAAACCACATCCAGAGTTCACTGGCCAAATCTCTGCAAGGTCTTTGTCACAAGGGAACAAAGGAAGAGCATGTTTTCCCACTCCAAATGTGTTGCAATTCCTTTTCTGCTTGAAACGGTGAGAGGAACATAGAGTTGAGTTGATAACCCCAACTGTAGTGGTCCTTCTGCAGAGGGTGTAATGGCACTGACTTCTACTACACCTATAACATGTAACCATTGTATGTAGTAGGTTTTTTACCACCATACTGAAGAACATTCTCATTTTAGAGTCTCAAGACCTCCAAATCACACCTACATCAAGCAAGGGCTTGCAGAAACACTGTGTAGAGACATCTGTGCAGAAACACTGTGTTATCCATTGGAACTCCTACAGAGCTTGAAGGAGTTGATTGGAGTGATCAATGCGCCAGAAATTCTGAATCTCACCACTGCATGGACAAATAAACATGTTGCACATGGCTATTTCACGTACAGATAAGTTCTGTGCATTCATCACATTTACCCTTGATCTGGAAAATAAGGCTTCTGCTGTTCAGTGTATACCCAGAAAAAAAATAATGCCTGGGTAGGGTAGTTCTGATTTACATAATGTAAAGTCAGAAGGATGAGAAGGTTGGAGTGAGCTCCCAGTACAACTGATAGTGTTAATAACATCAATGCTGCAAATTAACAGACAATGACAGGTTCAGAAATGTCAGGATTTACATTTCAAGATTAGATAGAGATGAAAAAGTGAAATTTTTTTACACATGAAAAAAGTATCCCTAGAACTTTAGCATACTTGATTATACCTAGAAATAAACTAGAAATGACAATATTTTAACTTTTCCTACTGTCACTGCATCAGTGGTTAAAACTTGTGTAGCTAGGCATACTGATGTTGATGGATTTTTCTTCTGTCATCGCTAGTAGCTAGGCATACTGATGATGGATTTTTCTTCTGTCATCGCTATGTTCACTACAATATTGTATATAATATCGTATATATTTACATTTTTTGCAGGCTAACCTTTACAAATCAGCACCTATGGTAGCAGAGAGTCAGCTGGTATGTATTGCACAGCTGTGATATGCTGTTTTTCAAAATTTGCACAAGCACAAAATCTGAACTAATTATTTACTTTATCAGTTCTTTGAAAGCTGCTGCAGTCAATATCCTTCTGCATTGCGTTCTTCTGTGCTGAATACACACCTTTTTAAAGTAACTGTAAATCCTGACACTACTTGTTTATCCCATGGACCAAATGACAGAGAATCTTGATGAGTCTTGAGGTGTATGACAACTATAGAGGCTGCTGCTTGTTCTTAGACTCTTTCAATATTCCATTTTTTTTTCTTTTTTTCTTTTTTTTTTTTTTTTTTTAAATACATGCAAAACTGTTCGAGATGCTATTTTCTTCTTACATGCTGATTTAAATTAAAGCTGGCTTAACTAGTGAAAAGCAAGGGTAAAATCAAATAAGGGAAGGGAGACTATGTATCAGATGTTCATTTGAGCTCTGATTACAATTTAGTCCAGTTGGAGCCAAACTTTCTGAAGAAGAGTCAGACGAGAGAGGTCATGGAGCCTGTCTAAGTGACAGAGACTAGTAATGAATGCTCAAGGAAAAAAAGAGATGTGGATGAGAAATTTCCCCCACCATATTTCAGCTAATGGAATTTTAGGGACTTCATGAATCAATTTCTTGTTTAGTAATCTTAGACAACTTCCTCTTTTGTGATTTTTTCCAGCTGCTTCTTGAATGTTGTTATACTTTGGTCTCTACAGCATTCTGTAGTAACAGGGTTCACTTTTTAACTATGCATTGTGTGAAATAGTACTTTATTTCTTTGTTTTAAACCTACTAATTAACCTCAGTTCTTGTACTGAAACTACAAATAATTGTTCTTTCTCCACTTTCAAAATAATATTAATGATTTTCTAGGTATTAACCATAATATAGCCTATCAGTCACCTCTTTTTCATGCAGAAAAGTCAGAATTGCTTAGTCACTCCTTGAGAAGTATAGATATTGTCTCATACCTTTGATAATCCTTGTTACCCTTTCCTATATATGTTTCAGGTTTTCGTTTTTGAGATTGGGAGACTAAAACCATTAACTGCTCTTGTCTATCTCTGGATACAGTACTTCTTATTTACATCATGACGTGATAACGTTCTTTATTGCTATTTCTATTCCTTTCTTAACAATTCTTAGTAATTTATTTAGTTCTATACTTTTATTGAGCAGTAAGTCTATGTTTGCATAGAACTGTTTACAATAAATACCAGATATGTTTCCTGAGTACTGAGAGCTAGTTTCTGAGGTAATTAGTTCATTGGTAGTGTGAATTTAGGATGCAGTTTAGTTTTTGCTTGTGAAATGCATTGATATTGAATTCAGTTAAGTTACATTTAGCTTTATATCATTCATTAACTTGGTATCATAAGATCTACCTGCAACTCTTTGCACTGTTATTTTGTTTTTACTTCCGTGAATGATTCAGTATTACCAGCAAAATTTTACACTTCACTAGCCACTTTTTTCTGGCCAATCTACATCCATAATTCAGATTCCAGAGAACATCCCTGAGGAACTCTATTTGTGACTTCCCTTCACTGTGAAATTTGAACATTTATTACAACCTTTTCCTTCCTATCTTTTAATTGGTCCATAGGAAATATTCTCTTTAACTCCACAGCAGTTACATCTCAGTAGACGCTGCTGACAGACCTTTACCAAAGCCTTTGGAAGTTCACATGCAGCATGGATGCACATTCACTGAAATTTAAAATCTGTGATGCAGTCACATTTTTATAGAATCATAGAATC